TCCTGCCTCCTACAAAATAAATGCCTGAAGTAAATGAAAGCCACCAGCAACTCCGTCAAACCAAGAACTGTCGCACTGCTGCTCACAGACCAGTGACCCAAGACAAACTGTCTCTTAGGATGAGACTGAGAGCAAGTACTACGCTAAAGGTAAATAGAGCCTAGTTAGGCCCAGTCTTGGTAAGAACATCAAGGTAAGCCCTAACTAGACATAAAAGGGTCTTAACAAAGCTAAGAATTGTGCTTTCAGGGTCAAACAGATTACATTAGTTCTTCAGGCAATTAACATGATTTCAGGTTTCGACCTTAATACGTTGGGGCTTTTTTTTCCCCCATCTCCCCAGTCTGACCAATTCAACACACCAGTTTTGAGACGGTTTTCTCCTGTTGTTACTACACAAAGCAAGTTTCAGAAGCTCTGGCCAGTTTCACAGTTTCTTTTGAAAAGGATGCATGGTTAACCTACAGGTATGATGAAATTAGAATGGCCTCAAGCACAGCATCATCTCAGCAAAAGAGTTAAAAAAAAGTTTAACACCTACTGTAGTACTGCCTGTGCTACAAACATGTCCACCTCACTGCGATATCCCCTGGACGAGGAGTATTCTACTAGCATATTTGCACATCCTTCGCCATCTGTGGAGTGCAAGAAGTGATACCGAGATTCACTATAGTTTTGCTCTATAAAAGGAAAAAGAAAATGGCTTTTAAGAAATCAGTTCATCATACCTGAACATAAAAAAAAAATCATTAGGCTTGTACATTACAGCTGGTAAAAGGACAAGAGCTACGCACATGGTATACAAACAAGACAAGTAGCAAAAAGAGAGCAGGCTTTTTCCTTTATAAGTTACAGACAATTTATAAAGGGGGAACTGCTATTAAATACAGTTTAGTCAATGCCACCAGAAAACACAGCTTCCACTGGGACAAATAGCTTAAGCTGTGGTCATACAATTTCATCTGTGTGTTGGCACTTCACGAGCTATCAGCAGTGCTTAGGAGAAGAATCAAGAAGTTTTGTATTAGACCATGTGCACCAAGAAGTCAAACAGCACCTGCAGCGTCCTTCTTTCTAAGTGCACAGAGAGAAGGCATTTCCTATTTTTAGCTTAGCCCACTCTCGCCATCAAAATTAAAATTGCTTCCATATGCTGAATAGAACAGCAATTATACAGGGAAAAAAAAAGGTGTAAGAAATGGCTACAATTTGTTAGAACTTAACTTGAAGCAAAGCATCATGCAAAATCACTGCAATGACAAATCAAAACTGGATAGCTGCTAGTTTTTGGAATTTAAAAGCTTTGTTTTAAAAATCTGAGCCTTTTCTGATGAAACTCTCAAAAACTACAGACTAAGAAAACATACACATTTTGTTCTTCAAAAGAACAGTAGCAGACAGCTACAAAATGGGGATTTCTACTTTCAGAATGCAATAGTTTCTTATCCTAATTGTATCCCAGCTTCTAACTTAAATGCTCTAAGTAAAATCCTCCCTTTGTCGCCATAAGGCTACCATAAGTCCTATGAGAACAGCTATGGGATTGCCTATGGCACGCAGAAAGGCCATGAGCTGGAATGTTGACCATTGGGTCAGGATTGTTTTATGAAACCACTACTATCACTTTGCACCTACTGAAAAATTTAAAATAAACAGTCATCTTGCACAGTTATTAATTCACAAGAAACCACAGAAGAGATGGCATTCATTCTCCTCCTTCGTTCTCCCTCACCTTTGTTATGTTTTGAATGTAAGACTAAAAACTAGCTATCATCCATAGTTAAAATAATTATTTAGTGCATTTTGGTTTATCTCACATCCCATCACAAGTGATAAAATCCCACATAAATCAAAGGCAACAGCATTCATTCTGGAATAAGCCTGCTAGTCAACATCTCAAAAAGTACCTAATTACAGATCCAAAGACTGTTTTGGACACTAGGTGCTGTATTTCAGTCTTTGTCACATTTATCCAGGATTCAAAACCAAAAAACCACAATAGAACAGCTTTGCTCCTCAACAATTTTCCTCCTAATGACTCAGTCAAACTACCTCAGTGTTTAAAGGATCAACCTTCCTTTTACAGAGAGCTTTGCAACAGTTGTGGTTTGGGTTTTTGCACTAATACAGAGCTACAGCCCCAGGGTTTTTTTGTTAGTAACATCAAGTTACTGCAAAAATCAGGTAATAGCAGAACTCAGTCAATCATTTCCATCTCAGCTTCCTTAGATTATTTCCAAAGTAGATCTCTTACAGTATCATACTTTCAACATTTTCAAAAAACATAGAAAAGCCAGTTGATTTTGCTTACCTTTCCACAGGGTAATTGCTAGTAACTGGTGTAGTTTCGGATGTCCAAGTTTTCCTGATCCCCCGCTAGACCATTTTAGTGCTCTGGATACGAAAGCCACTCTTTCGGGAGAATTTGGATCCATTAAACTAAACAATTTAGCCAAGTTTTCTAGAAGCGATAAGATTGGCAAATATTTAGCATTAATAGAAATAGGATTAACTGCTACTTACGGTGCATCTTTAAGGTACAACATTTAAGTTATACTACAGTGTCTTTAAGCTCCCTTCCATGATTCTTAACGGCCTCCATAAGCTGCCTTAAAAAAGAGTGACTTTGAACTTAAGCCACTTCGTGTACATCAAGTCACTCTTGCCTCTATCGGCCAGCAATATTCGTATCACTCCTCCACAGCCAAAAGCTGTGCCTTGCAGTCAGCCAGTGCCAGCTCCCCTGCCTCATCATTTGGGACAGGGTATCCCAGAGGACCATGCAGTTCTCCAAGGGGGAGGAAAGACTGCAGGTTATGGGACTGCTTGCCATTCATAGGGAAGCTGTGATGGACAGAAGGCTGTAGTTTGGAAAAGCACCACCAGAAGTTGTAGATGGGATACAAAATGTCAGAGCTGATCTAAGTAAACAATGAACAGCCTCTGTCTGTCTGTCTCCATTCATAGGTTAACAGGAGGGGTTCACCCATGCTGCAGCAGCAGTCTGGCCAGGCAGCTCTTAAGGTCTCTCCTGAATTGCCCACTTACCAGATCTCACAGTCAAACAAGAAAAATTTCCTTGTGAACAGCTGAATCACAAATAATATGCACACTACCACACACTGCCAGGGTGGGAAACCACCATCCACCAAAGCCCTGAGGACATCAATGACCGTGCAGGCAATACATTACTGCTGCAGCGAGGAACGGACAATGCCACGAGACAGCAATGTTTGTTCTACGCATGCCCATAAAATTATTGAGAACCCATCATTCTCTATTAATAAAGTTTTCCCCCAGTGCTTTTCTACAATGAAGGTAACCCTTAACCATGTAGGAGAGCATACAGAAGGGATTTCAGGTTTCAAGACTGTTAACAACAGCCACTGTGAAGTGAAAGCACACTGAAACACCATCAAACCGAGCGCAAAGGGCACCTCACCTAAAAGGTCATCTGCTACTTTTGCATCCGATTTCTCCAAAGACTCCAAAACCAGCATGGACAGATCAGCAGCACTGTTTTGCTACAAAACAGACACATACTGATAGTCATGAACATATCGGTACATAAAAGAAAACATCAACCAGAATTTTGTCAGAGGCAGATTTATTACTTTTATCAGCATCTACACCTAAGGCACAGTATCAAGTCTCAACCTTCCCTTATAAAAAAACTGTAGTAATTTGATGGCATCAAAAGAAAAGCCTCCAGGAAAACAAAACAAATGTGGTTATGATTGTTATTTGGATGTTCACAAACACTTCTGCTTATGTTCCAGTTTGGCATAATCCTTCTTTGTGGAAAAAGGGTCAAAAAAGAGATAAAAGATTACAAAGCAATCACCCCAAACATTTACCATTGAGAATTCACCATTCACCCCTCAAAATCCTGGAATAACAATATCCCCACCCCAAACCACACTCACACAAACCCAGTGACTTACCTGGTTATGACTGAAGAACAGCAAAGCCCCTGAATACATTAGTTCTCTTGCTTCTGCATGTTTTCCTTGTGACATATACCTGAAAACAATGCCAAAGCCTTGATAAAAATTACCACTAAGTTGCATATGCTTAAAGTCACTTACATTTAAAGGATTAAAGATTACTAAAATGTAAAATAAAGGCACTAAGGGATTTATTTTTGAATCAGGTTAGTTTCAATAATGATGTAACTTTAAGCGCAAGCTACAATTTGTTTTCTGCTCTTGGAATGGAATGGACTTGATGGAATACAAGCAAAGAGTGTAAGAACAAAAACTGAGAGCTTCAAACCTGATTTGGGCTGAAACAAAGAAAAGGAAATGATCCCAGGAGTTCACCTGAACAAAAGATGCCAACGCACTGAGCTACGCCGCTCAGACCAACACATTAGAGCCTTTACCAAAACCAAAGCCATCACAGTGAAAGAGTTTTCAGAATACACCCCGGATAGCTCGCACACCCAGCGCCGCCCAAGTGACTCCAGCCCTTTTCTCACTCATGTCTCCCTTCCACTGGTTTTCTTCTCT